CTGGCGACGTATGGCGTCGAGCAGAATCGCCGATGCATCTGCGATTTGGCGCGATCCACTGACCCCATCTACGTCGATCCAGTTTGGGCGGTCTGGTACACTGGAAGCAATCGGAAAATGCCGCCAAGATTAAGAAATCAGCGGATGAGCCGAGCGAATGGGACAGTTGCACGTACCTCTAGGGCCCGTGCGCCTCGCGGTCACACCCACTACGTCCACTGACTGGAAACTTGTTATGCCAATTCGTCGCTACCCTTGCACGCCTCCTCCAAGCGACCTATCATAAAATCTAACGGATCGCCTGGGCGGTGAGCTATCACGTCCTGAAGTAACTCCTGCATCTGTGCAAGCACGTTGTGGTCGTCAAGATAATTTCTCATAGAGAGGGCCGTCTGGAGCTTGCGCTTGGGCGATGTCGGCCGCCCCTCCACAACGGTGCCGCCGCTGGCTGCATACTGACCGTTCGGCTGCTGCGCGGCCCTTCCAGATAGGTCCCGCATCTGAAGCTGCAGCGTCGCCTCATGTCCGTAGTTCTGCTCATCCGCTGGCTGAATGAGCACGCTGTACACCTCCTTGCCAGGAGTCAGCTTAACGCACTTCGTCCCCACCTGCGACGTCAACTCCACGCGGACGTCCTCGGCCCCCGAGACGCATGGCAGCCGGACCACCGCGTTGGGCTCGATGGCCGCCTGGCCCTGGAAGCCTCCGGCGTGAACGGTGAGGACAGAACCGGCGGGCAAACCCCCAGAATCCTCGACTACGACCTCCATGGCGGGATCGCGCCGCGTGCGCGCCGCACCACCCGGAAAACGGCGGGTCGCGCAGCGGTCAGGTCGCGAAAACAGCTGCCTGGGTCAAAACGTCTCCGGTCGGGGGGGCGGAGCGAGGGGAGAGTCGGGCTGTTGCCAAAGGTGCCCCTGTCTCAAGGTGCCCCCAGGATCTCCAAGAAGGCCCCCAGCCTCCAGAGCACCCCTCACGAGGCCAAGAGGGCCCCAGGGGCTCCAAAATGGAGCGCAAGTCTGGGAGGCACCTTGGGCCAGGGGCACTTCCAGCAGAACCAGAGAGAGAGAGAGAGGGCGCTGGCGCACTGCTTCACACGGGCGAGCTTGGGAAAACAACGCGTGCGCAGTCCGTGGAAGCGACCCGGGGGCTGTGGAAGGCCGTGCCGCGGCCGGAGCGAGCAGGAAGGCCCTGAGATCTGCTGGCCGGGGCTAGGACCTGCTCGGGGGCGACAGGGCCAGGACCTTCCCCAGCAATCTGTTCCATCTTCCCCGCAGAAGCCCTCACCGAGCTCCAGCTGCCAGGATAATCCCAGGCCCTGCGAAGGCCACCTTCGTCCGCTGGTAAGACAGCTCCTCCCTGTGCTGCGGAGAAGCCCTCAATCCAGGAAGGCCCCTGGACCTCAAGGTCCGCTCCGCGAGGAGAACAATTCTAAATCCGTACCGAGGCGCCCCCCCCTGACCCTTCGAAGGCCACCTCCGCCCACGAGGAGGACAGCTCCAAGTTGCTGCGGGATGCGTTCACGCCGCCCCCATCCACAAAGAGACGGGGGAGCGGCGGATGGAAGGCGGCACGCCGCTCGCGCGTCCCTCGTCCCATGACCACGTGCGCTCCCTCCTCCTCGGCGCTCCCTCCATTTCGTGCTGTTCACGATCATCGTCGTGGTCGTCATCATCACAACCACCATTATCTGCATCGTAATCATATTTACGACTTGTCACGACTACTACCACCATCACCACCATCATCACCAGCATCAACAACAGCATCACCACCATCTTCATTACAATCACCATCAATAAAATAATGATGATGATGATGATGAGGATGATGATGATGATGATGATGATGATGATCATCATCATCATCATCATCAACCTCACCATGATAATCCGTGTCATTACCATCATCAGCAGCTGCAGCATCAGCAACATTCGCCAAATCATCATCAGCCGCATCATCTCCACCATCACCATGATTTTGTTAATCGTCGCCATCCAGAGCATCAACATCAACACCAGCATGATCAGCACAACCATCAGCATCAACATCCCCATCCACATCCTCAACATCACCACCAACAACCATGATCATGAACATCATCAACACCATCACCATCAGCATAATAATCAGCATCATCATTACCAGCATCATCATCGGCATCATCAGCATCCTCGTCACCACCACCATCATAATGATGATCATCACCATGTTCATCACCACCACTACCATCATCATGTTGATCATCATCATCACCATCAGCATCACCATCATCATAACCATCATCATCATCAGCATCACCATCACCAGCATCAGCAGCATCGCCATCATCACATGCATCATCATCACCAATCAGCATCATCATCAGCATCATTGTCATTAGCATCGCCTTCATCAACATCATACTTACCACCATCATCATAAGCATCATCAATAGTAAACCGCATTGCCATTAGCATCACAAACAGTTCCATCACTATCACCATCGCCATCACCATCACCATCGCCACCACCACCACCATAATCATCACCATCGTCATCATCAGCATCAACATCAACAGCATCATCATCATCGTCATCAACATCCGCATCATCATGGCCGTCGCCGCCGTCATCATCGTCATCATCATCAGCAAAATCAGCATAATCATCAGCAGTTCTTTCATCATCATCACCATCACCACCACCATCATCATCACCATCACCATCATCATCATCAGCATCATCATCATCATCATCATCATCATCATCATCATCATCATTGAATCATCATCATCATCATCATCATCATCATCATCAGCACCAGCACCATCATCATCATCATCATCAGCATGAATATCATCCTCAACTTCGTCATCATCACCACCACTATCATCGTTATCGTCATTATCATCTTCCCCATAGCCATCATCAGCATCATCCGCACCATCATCCGCATCAGCATCATCATCATACGCATCATCAATATCATCATTACCATTATTACAAAAAACATCGATCATCATCGTCATCATCATTACTACCGGCATCATCACCACCATAACCATCACCATCACGATCACCATAATCATCACCACCATCATCATCATCATCAGCATCATCATCATCATCATCACCATCACCATCATCATCATCATCATCATCATCATCATCATCATCATCATCATCATCATTACCAGCATCATCATCATCAGCAGCATATCATCATCATCACCATCACCATCAGCATCGCCATCATCATCATCACAATCATCATTTATAATATCCATCAATTTTAATTTAACATTGCCACCAACATAAATATCACGACAACCACCATCATGATCCTTCCTCCTCCCGCGTCGCTCCAGAGCAGCCTTCCCTCCAAGCTCCTCGCAGCTCGCAGCTCCTCGTCGCCTCCCTTGCTCTCCTCGCCCTCCTCGCCCTCGCTGCCCGTCCCTGCCGTCGGCCTCGCCCTCACCCACGCTTTCCTCGCCCTCGTCGGCGTCCTCGTCGCCCCCAACCTCGCCCTCCCCGTCGTCCCGCCTTCGCCCTCGCTCTCGCCCTCGCCGACATTGCCCTCGTCCCCCTCGGCGTCCTCGCCCTCACCCTCGTCGCTGCCGCCGCCCTCGCCGCGCTGCCGCCGCCGCGCCGGCGGCCGAGGCAGGGCGCGCCGCACGAGCCGCGCCAGGAGCGCGGACCGCCGCAGCCGCCGCTGCAGCACGGTGGTGGCCGTGCAGGCGCGGAGCAGCCGCGCGAGCTCCTCGGCGCAGAGGGCGCGCCTGGCGCGGCGGTCGAGGCGCAGCGGTGCTTCAGGCGGGGTCGCACTGGCGAGGGCGAGAGGCTCGGTTGCGGGCCGGCCGAGGGCGAGGCGGGGCGGCGAGGCAAGGCGCGAGGTCGGGTGGACAGCGCGGGGGGAGGGGGGTTTGCGGGGATCACGCGCGAGGAGGAGGGGGGGTCGCAGGCTGGGGCCGCGCGCGAGGGGGAGGGAGGAGGGCGGGGCAGAGAGAGATAGAGAGAAAGAGGGAGGGAGACAAGCTGGTTGCGCTCGCGCCTCACGTGACATCCTATCCCTCCCATCCCTCCAAACCCATCCCTTCCCATGGTGCTGAATTTTCTCTGTCCGCGGACGCGTGTCATAGCCCACCTGCGACTCACACACACAAAGACCACTTCGTGTTATGCGCAATCGGAAAAGGGGGAGCTGCGTGCTGAGGAGGAGGTTGGCGGGTGAGCAGGAGGATGAGCGGAAGGAAAAGAATGAGGACGAAAAGCAGCAGCAGCAGCAGGAACTACAGCAGACGGATCGGGAGGGAAAAGAGGACCAGGGGAAGGCGGAGGACGGGAAATGAGATGGGCGAAAACGAGAAAGGAAGACGAACAGCAGCAGGAACTGGAGTGGCAGGAGTGGGAGGAAGAGGAGGACCAGGGGAAGGCGGAGGAAGGGAAATGATAGGGGGACCACAATGAAGCAAGACTTGGATCCAGAAAAGTGGCCCGCGCTGGGGCGAGAGCGCCATACTGAACGACGGGAGCAACGCGCCGATCCGAAAATGCGGCCCACGCTGCAGCGGGAGCATCACTTGAAACACCAGAAACAGCTTCATTGTAACAAATATTAAAACATCAGCTTTGACATCCTGTGTAGACAACAACGACACGCTGAGTGGGCGGGAGATCTTCTGAAGAACTTCAGGGGAGGAGGGAGAGTCGTATTCATATTGTTCAATTGTGGAGGAGCGGGAGGGGAAGGATCGGGAGAGAGAGTGAGAGAGATGGATACAGGCAGAGAGGGATAGGAGGAGACAGAGAGAGAGGATAGAGACAGGGATATTAAACCCCTATATATACATATATGTGTGCGTTTTGTACACGTGGATGCACCTCTCCGAAGAAGTAGAGCTCAGAGGCGACCGGATACCCATAGCCGAGGAGCAACACAATCAACCGCCGCCCACCTCCTCCAAACCGGGGCCTCGCCAGGAAGAGGCCCGCCCACTCGACGTACAACGCCGCGAGCCCCTCGTCCTTGGGGGCGCGAAGAGGCCCTGGTACCGTTGCTCCCAGGACGTCTCTGGGGTGCGTTCTGACCAGAATTCCGAGGCGCATTCAGCGGTGGCACCGAGGGCCTCCCAGGAAGCCCAAAGAGGCGAACACGACGGAAAAAGAAGGAAGAACGCCATACAAATAAACTTTTGGAGCTCCGCACGGATCTCTTGGATCTGCGCTGGACCCCCTCCCTGGCGCGCGGAGCGGCGCCGGAGGCGCCGCCGGGGGGGGCCAGCGCGGATCCAAGAAATCCGCGCGGATCGCCACAATTTATATCTATGGCGGTTCCCCTTCTTCGAGGAAGGGCAGGGGTATGGGACCCTTCTTTGCGGGGCAACGAAAGGGAGGGACTGGCATAGGGGGGATCCATCGACCTGGAATCGGCGATACATCGTCGACAGATCGGCGATAGGCCCCCGATAGTGAATCCGCACCTTCCTGTGCAGGTTGGGGCCATCGGGCCCCTATCGGCGATCAATGGGCGATTGGGGGTCACTGCGTCCACCCCTACCCCTATCCCGATTCTCCTCCTCGGAGTCCTGCACGCCCGAAGCCCCGGCGAATACCTCGTCCACCGCCCAGTCGAAGTGTTCCTCGGCCGCGCCACGCGCGGCGGGGCCGGCGCGCGGAGCCGGCGGGGACGCATAGAGGCCTCCCGAGATCGGCAGGGGATCGGCATAAAGAATCTGCAATCGTGCTTGCTAACTGGTAGACACACACGCATGCACGTGCGCATTGTATCTAACAGTGTCACGGTTGGCACCCCGCCACTGCAGGGCCTCCTGTTCTTTCTTGGGCATGCCTTCGGGTGCAATTCGTCTGAGATTCTGCCCTCCCTTGGCCGTATTAGGGCCGCACCACAATCTTCAGCCAAAGTTCTTACCATGAGACTGCTACAGCCTCCAGAGGAGGAACATTAATAGAGGACGAATTGGTCTACATACAGGAAGGTGTGCGACGGGTGCGCCACCTTCCCTCCCACACTGAGACCCGATGACGGCGACCCCCCCGCCCTCGTACGATGCACGCACACCGCGCAAGCTTGTGCAAACAGCGTGGACCTACACTCTGATATGGCGAACCACCCCAGGTCCGCGTGCAAGGCTGAAAGCTCACATATGTTGCAATGCCAACTCGCTCACACCCGCTCCAAATGGTGGTGTGACGAATCAGTCAGTGCAGCCTGCTTGCACGCTCTCGGGCAATTGCGTTCCGACTCCGGCCTGATAGTGTCGAGCGCCGTGCAGTCCAAATTGGCACGGGCCGACCTGCGACGCACGAGAAAAAACACCGCGTCGACCCATCCAACCTCGGGCTTAGCGGTGGTTTGACACAAGACCTCGGCGGCATCTTGGCCCGCAAAAACATCGGCGCACTCATCTCCTGCAATCTGCCAGAGCGGGTACAGGGTTTCACCGCCCGAGAGCTCTTCGGCCTGATGACTGTGCAAAAACATACATTGAATCCTAGAATAACCACTCTCACTCACGGTCTCCCGCATGGCGAGCCACAGGTCCGCGTTCGTGCCTTGCGGCGGCTGCCGCTGTCGACCGCGGGCACAGCCCGTCACCAGCGGCATGTCGTCCGCGCGGTAGCGCAAGTTGCCCCGCGTGTTTCTCAGCGCCAGGAGAAAGGCCCACAGCTCCGCCCTCGGGCCGGTCTGCTGGGGCCCAGGCAGCCCCGCCACGATGCCCGCCACGAGCGTCGGGACGCCGACCCCGCATTGTCGGAGCACGTGGTCGCCGCTGTGCTCCCCCCCCAGCCATCCCCGAAGACGTCGAAGAATCCGTCGGGCCCGCGCTGGAATTCGACCTCATCCCAGCAGCCCGCGCGGCACACGAAGTCCGCGGCGCCCTCAGGGTACTCGTGCCGAGTCCATCTGGCGGGCGGCAGGCCTCTCAGCCACAGGCACGGACCGCCTCGTGGCTCTCGGTTGACTTGTCCAGGAGGCGTATTCCTCGTGGCCCTGGTTGCACGGACATGTCCGGACTCTGCGCAGGAGCGTCTCCTGCTGTCCGCAGCGCGGGCACAAGCCTGTGCCTGCGAGGCCTCGTTCCTGCTGCCGCGGTTGCAGCGCCCAAGCGCTATGGTCACCGTCCCGTTGCAGTCGGGCCAGGCGCCGCTTGGCCTGGAGGTCAGGGCCTCCCTCGAGCCCCTTCCCCGCGTCGTGCTGCGCCGCGCCGCGCCGCTGCGCGCGCTTGATGTTGGCCGCCACTTCCTCCAGCAACTCGGCGTCGTCGATCTCATCGGGTCCTTCGCTCACCCTCCACAGCTCGTCGACGTCCGACTGCCACTCGACGGCCGTGAGCACATCCCATCCTGCTGTCATCTGCGTGCAGATGACCTCCGAAATGGCCCTTTCAAATTGGCCCATCTGCGCTCAGGCGGCACGCCCTGCAGCTCCTTGTAGATGGTGGAACCGCCAGCCCAAATTCGCTGCCGCCCATCAGCAGCGCCCAAGTTGTGGTCAGGCATCTTCCGGAACCCTTGCCCGCAATGACTTTGCTGGCCTGCCTGCGCAGGCGCACCGTGCTGGGGACCTGGCGCCCGTAGATCAGCGCGGGCTGGGCCCCCGTGCGGTGCACCTTCTGCGCGTAGGTGACCATGCTCGCACGCATGCGCAGCCGAAAGATGCCCCTGACCTGGTTCGCCACGTTATTGGCCCGCTTCTTGGCCTGCGTCTGGTCCCTCCTCCGCCCAGCAGTGGCGGCGATCCCCAGGTCCACGGCCGAAAGGCGCTCTCGGAGCTGACTTGGGCCGTCTGGGGCCGATCATGATAGAAAATTATCCCAGTGCGACCCGACCTAGGAGTTGGAACCCCTAGGAAAGCAGCATTAGTAGTAACAGTAACGCTAAGCTAAAGCTAAGCTAAAGCTAAGCTAAAGCTAAGCTAAAGCTAAGCCACAACTAAGCTAAAGCTAAGCTAAAGCTAGGCTAAACGCTAAACTAAAGCTAAGCTAAAGCTAAACTACAGCTAAGCTAAAGCTAAGCTACAGCTGAGCAGCAGCTAAGCTAAAGCTAAGCTACAGCTAAGCTAAAGCTAAGCTAAATCTAAGTCAAAGCTAAGCTAAGCTACAGCTAAGCTAAAGCTAAGCTACAGCTAAGCTACAGCTAAGCTAAAGCTAAGCTAAAGCTAGGCTGAACGCTAAGCGAAAAGCTAAGCGAAACGCTAAGCTAAAGCTAAGCTACAGCTAAGCTAAAGCTAAGCTAAAGCTAAAGCTAAAGCTGAAGCTAAAGCTAAAGCTAAAGCTAAAACTCCCAGGAGACTGGGGGAACCGCTCCCAGGGGACTGGGGGAACCGCCCGGGGCGTTTTCCACTGCCCGGCCCCTTTAAGCTAAGAGAGTAAGAACCCTTCTAGGCAGAGCCTAGGTAGGGAATTTGGCGGTTAGATCTACGGATCCCGAGGCCAATCCCCTCACACTCCCCCCCGATAGTTCTCCCGACCAACTGATCGCGACGCTACGCGCGCTATCCGTCATCCGCCGCCCCCTGTTGATACATGACCGGGGGTCTGGCGTGCTAGACGTATGGGTGGTTTTCGATTCGTTTCAAAGGAACTCCCACAAGAGCACCGCGGCGCCGCGTACTTCCGCTATACAACATTGCGCGAGCTTCACATATTGAGGGCGGCTCGGTTTCAAAATCTAGCTCTCGCCTTAGCGCCGCGCACATGCGTTTCGAAACTGCGCACTCGTTTCACGGATTGAAGGCGGCTGGATTTTATATCTGACCCTCGCCGTAGCGCCGCGCACACTCGCTATACACATTGCGCTAGCTTCACAGATTGAGGGCGGTTCGGTTTCAAAACGTAGCTCTCGCCTCAGCGCCGCGAACATTCGTTCTTAGACATGTGCACGACTCGTTTTTTAAATCTAGCTCTCGCCTTGGTGCCGCGACAGTTAGTCTAAGCGCCGCGCCCTATACGATTCCTGTTGCAATGCAATTGACTTCCGTCGGCTGTCCTTGGGGGTGGCCCGTCCAAGGGTGTCGCACCCGCCCCGCACGGAGCGAAATCTGAGCACCGCGGAGTGACGAACAACTATTTCCCGCCCGCGGAAAATCGTAGGAAAAGTCATCGTGCGACCGTGACACTAAGTGGTAGCAACCGTAACCGTACTAGCAGTAGCGTTTGAAGACAGTAGTAGTAGTAGTAGTAGTAGAAGAAGAAGTAGTAGTAGTAGTAGTAGAAGAAGTAGTAGTGGTGGTACTAGAAGTAGTAGTAGTAGTAGTAGTAGTAGTAGCAGTAGTAGTAGTAGTAGAAAGATAGTCATATCCGTAGTAGTAGTAGTAGTAGTAGCAGCAGTAGTAGTAGTAGTAGTAGTAGTAGTAGTAGGAGTAGTAGTAGTAGTAGTAGTAGTACTAGTAGTAGTAGTAGTAGTAGTAGTAGTAGTCGTAGTCGTAGTAGTAGTAGTAGTAGTAGTAGTAGTAGTCGTAATAGTAGTAATAGTCTTAGTAGTAGTAGTAGTAGTAGTAGTAGTAGTAGTAGTAGTAGTAGTCGTAGTAGTGGTGGTGGTAGTAGTAGTCGTAGTAATAGTATTCGTGGTGGTGGTAGTAGTAGTAGTAGTATTAGTAGTAGTCGTAGTAGTAGTCGTAGCCGTAGTCGCCGTAGTCGTAGTCGAAGTAGTAGCAGTAGGAGCCAAAAGAAAAATGGTAGTAGTCGTGGAAGTAGGAGTACTAGTAGTCGTCGTCGTAGTCGTACTAGTCGTAGTAGTAGTAGTAGTAGTAAAACTAGTAGTGAGAGTAGTAGTGGCAATAGTAGTAGTAGTATTAGTCGTAGTAGCAGTAGTCGTAGTAGTAGTCGTAGTAGTAGTAGTAGTAGTAGTAGTAGTAGTAGAAGGAGTATAACTAGTAGTAGTAGTAGTAGTAATAGTAGTAGTCGTAGTAGTACTCGTCGTCGTAGTCGTAGTTGTCGTGGTAGTAGTGAAAGTAGTAGTAGTAGAAGTAGTAGTAGTAGTAGTAGTCGTAGTAGTAGTAGTAGTAGTAGCAGTTGTAGTAGTAGTCGTAGTAGTACTAGTCGTAGTAGTAGTAGTAGTAGTAGTAGTAATAGAAGTAGTAGTAGTAGTAGTAGTAGTCGTAGTCGTAGTCGTAGTCGTAGTCGTCGTCGTAGTAGTAGTAGTAGTAGTACTTGTTGTAGTAGCAGTAGTAGCTGTAGTAATCGGAGTGGGCGTAGAAGTAGTAGTAGCAGTAGTCGTAGTAAAATGAGTCGTAGTTGTTTTGTATACAACATGCAACTACGGTGCTTATAGAAACTACAGCACGTACAATACATACGGCTTACATTACATACAACACATATATTCTGCACACGTGGATAGTCCTAGATAAATAGCAATACAACATACAACTATGGCTTATATATACACTGTGGTAATACAACCACCACTACTACTACTACTACTACTACTACTACTACTACTACTACTTTGTAGTACTAGTACTACTTCGTGCGGGTAGCATCCCAGCAGACATGGGGCTCTGGCAGCCAGAAACGCAGCGCGTGCGGCCATGGCTGCTCCACGACACAAAGCTAGACATGAGGAGTAATAGTTCGTAATACTGAATGCCAATAGAAGTGCTACGATCTAGCAGTAGTTTTGTTACTCAGTAGTCCAAATGGTACTCAGTAACAATAGAAGTACTAGTCGTAATAGTGCTGGTAATATTGAAAGAAAACGTGTAGTCGTACGAAGGGGGGTAAAAGTAGGAGTGATAGATAAAGCGCGCTGTAGTGTAGTAGTCGTAATAGCTGGTACAAGCAAAAATAATACGACTAATAATAATAATGCCAATACTAATAACAGTAACAATCGTTAATCTTGCAATGCGGTCGTAGCAGTGGTTCCGGCATTGAGTAGTAGCAACACAAATACCAACAATACTTTGGGGCCACGAAGCGCTGTACTGGGTGGGTGAAACGCAAGGAGGAAGGGGAGGAGGGCCCCGAAACGCTGTACTGGGTGTGCCGGACGCATGCGGACGGTAGCACTGGGACCTTCGGTGGGGCCCCCTATGGAGCCACGAAGCGCTGTACTGGGTGTGCGGGACGCATGCGGACGGTAGCGCTGGGACCTTTGGTGGGGCTCCCTACGGGGCCTCGAAACGCTGTACTGGGTGTGCGGGACGCATGCGCACGGTAGCACTGGGACCTTCGGTGGGGCTCCCTATGGGGCCGCGAAACGTTGTACTGGGTGGGTGAAACGCAGGGGGGAGGGGGAGGAGGGCCACGAAACGCTGTACTGGGTGGGCGAAACGCAGGGAGAAGGGAGACTAGGGCCACGAAACGCTGTACTGGGTGTGCGGGACACATGTGGACGGTAGCACTGGGACCTTCGGTGGAGCTCCCTATGGGGCTACGAAGCGCTGTACTGGGTGGGTGAAACGCAGGGAGGAGGGGGGGAGGGCCACGAAACGCTGTACTGGGTGTGCGGGACGCATGTGGACGGTAGCACCGGGACCGTAGGTGGGCCCCCCTAGTGGGGCCACGAAACATTGTACTGGGTGGATGAAACGCTGGGAGAAAGGGGAGGAGGGAAGAGGAGGGAGGAGTGGGAGGAGGAGGAGAAGGAGGAGGAGAGGAGAGGAGAACGCGGGGCGACGTCTCTTCAAAACGAGGACCCAACACCAGAGGATGGCTGGGACAAAAACGATGGAACAAAATAAGCAAACGTAATATTCATACATGTTGCTGGAGGCTGCAGTCGACGCGTTTCCGATCGAACCTCCACTGCAAATCAAGTAAAACCCGCGGTGGTCCTCAGGGACCCCTCAGAAATTCCGCAGGCATCCACCAGGAACTCTCCAGATCCCATCCGGAACGAATAGGAATCCCTTAGAATCTTCAGCAATCCTCAGGAGACTTCAAGAAACCCTGAGGAATCAGCGAGGATCCCTCCTGGATCCATGAGGAATCTGATGGGATCCTTCAGGTTCCGAATCTTCCAAAATCCCTAAGGATCAGGATGAATTCTCCAGGATTTCATGGCAATCCTGAGAAATTCACAGGAATCCCAAGGACACTTCAGGAACCCCTAAAGAGTCCAGTGTGAATCCGTCAGGAATAACAGAAACCCTTTTATGAGACATCTGGGATCCCCAGGAATCTTCAGCAATCCACAGGGTTCTTCAGGATTCCCTCAGGAATCCCCCAGGAATCCTTGAAGGAACCCCTTAAGAATCGTGAGGGCTTTCCTCTTGGAGTGTTCAAGAATACTCCTCTGGGACCCTTCAGGACTCCGGCGAGAATCCTTCACGAATCTCCAGGACTCCTCAAGAATCCCTCAGGAATCCTAGGAGGCCTGAGGAATACATGTGGAATCCTCCAGAATCCTTCAGAGATCCTCCAGGAATCTTCAGGAATCCTGTTTGGGTAAACGGCAGCAATCCTCCAAGAGTCTTCAGGACTCCTCAGGAGTCCTCAGGCATCCTTCAGGGATCCTCAGGAAACCTAAAGACATCATCAGGCATCCTCAAACATCCTGCATGGTGCATGGATCTTCAAGAATCCCAGAAGAATCCAAAAATCAACTTCCGGAAACCTGAGGAACCCGCAGGGAACCTTCAGGAATCCGAGGAATCGCCGACTGGGAAACACGTATGAAACGCGTATCCGGTGTCTATGCAGCGCATACCAAGCGCTTCAAGCGTTGGGAAGCTGAAGCGAGCTCGCTTGGGGTCTGAACCATTTCGCTGGTTGGGATCTGAACCGTCCGGTTTGGATCTGAACCGTCCTGTCGGGATATGAACCTTGCTCGGGCCCAGAGCCGATCCAAGAAATCCATGCCGAGCTCCAGACTCTTGTGTTTATGCAATGTATTGCTCCTCTAGCGGAGCGGCCTCCTCCCGTCGGCAGCAGAAGGCGAGGTGCGGCCGCGCAGCACGCAGGCTCGGCCCCTCTTGCAGCTGGCGCTTGGACACTTTCACCGGAAAAGATACCGATACATCCGCAAACCAGATGCTCGCCTAGTTGGTACGCATGCAAAGTCTACGACGGGCTCAATGGCGACCACGAAGCGATGTCAGAATACCAGGCTCCGCCAAGCGGACTTCCGTGAGCGAAGTCACGCCCTACTTACTTGCACCCCGCGCAGCTAGCTCGGCCCCGCCGGTCATCACCAGCACACCCAAGACCACGAACACACCTGCAGAAAACCAGGGAGCAGCGGTAACGGTATCTTTTTGATTTTTGTCTCCTGCATATGTTCTGAAACTTTCGCAAGTCATGGAGAACTGGGGCGCATCCCGTCAGCTGCGCCTCGCCGAGAGCGTTCTGGGGATGCCCCAGTCGTCTTTGGGCCCTTTCGGGGCCCTCTGGGGCCCTCTTGAGGATCTCCTGTGGCCCTCTTGGGGCTCTCTTGGGAACCTGTTGGAGCCCTCATGGGCCTCTCTTGGGCCGTCGTGGGGTTCTCTCGGGCCGTCTTGGAGCCCTCTTGGGCCATCTTGAGGCAATCTTGGGGCCTCTGATGCCGTCTTGGTGCGATCCTCGGGGCCTCGTGGGCCGTCATGGACGCTAGCAGAACCAAAGAAACATATATACTGAAAATGAATGTTTGCATCTTGGGCGTCCTGTTGGAGGCTTCAAAGAGCGTCTTGAGGGTCTCATTGGCCGTCTTGAGGCCACCTTAAGCTCTCTTTGAGCGCCATCAGGCCGTCTTGGGGTCCTTTTCGGCCTCCCTGAGGCCGTCATGGAGGTATCCTGGGCACTCTTGGGGCTGTCTTGGGCCGTTTTGGGACCCTCTGAGGCGCTCTTGGAGCTGACTTGGGCCGTCTGGGGCCTATCATGGTAGAAAATTTGGCGATTAGGTGTGAGGGTCCCGAGGCCAAGCCCCTCACACTCCCCCCTGATATTTCTCCCGACCAACGGATCGCGACGCTTCGCGCGCTATCGGTCATCCGCCGCCCCCTGTGGATTTATGACCGGGGGGCTGGTATGCTGGACGTATGGGCGGTTTCCGGTTCTTTTCTAAGGAACTCCCACAGGAGCTTAGGCCCAACCCGCTGGCCACCTGGAGAGCGCCGAGAAAGGTCTCCCGTTGCCCAAATTGCCTCCAAGACGGCCAAGATGGTTTCCAAGACAGGCCAAGAAAGCCCAAAATAATCGTAAGATGATTTCCGAGACGGTCCTAGATGCCTCCAAAACCGCCAAGATGGTCCAAGAGAGCCATAGACGGCCCAAGAGGTCCCAAGACGACCCAACCGGCCTCCAAGAGGTCCTCCAGGAAGGCCTGAAGAAACCCAAATCATATGTTTTCCGTGTGATATGTCTGTCCCTCTTGTTCTACATTGTTTTAGCAACAACTTTTGCATTTGCTTCAAAACCGCCTTCCGACAGCCGAAGAGGCCTCCAAGATTGCCCCAAGATCGCCCAAGAGGCCTTCAAGATATCCCGAGAGGCTCCCAAAACTGCCCCCGAAGGGGCCTACGGTGGCCCAAGACGCATCCAAGGCGCCCAAGATGGCCTTCAAGACGACCCTGAATCACCTCAAAGCCCCAAGACGAGCCAAAGAAACTTCCAAGACGGTTTCCAACTGCCTTAGACGGGCCAGGAAAGCCCCAAGACTGCCAAAGAGGCGCCCAAGAAGCCTCCGAAGGCCCCCCAAAGAACCAAGCAAGCCCCTAAGAGGCCTCCAAGAGACCCCCAGGAAGCTCTCAGGATGCCCAAGAAGAATGACCCAAGACGCCCCCAAGAGGTCTCCTCATCCTTCTCCTCCTCCTCCTCCTCATCCTTCTTTTTCCTCCCTCTCCTCATCCTCCCCGACGTGTTCGCCTAAGGGCTTCCACAGCGGCTGGGAGAACGTATGGTCCAATAGCGTGGCTAAACTTTGCCCAAACATTCGGCGTACCCTAAAAAGCAGGGGGCGGCGGTGATTCGCCGTCGGCGTATTCGATCATGACGCCGGAGGTCTATGGGGAAGGGGGGGAGACAGCGAAGGGAGGGGGGCCCGAATCGGTTCCCTGCCCTCGCCCGCCCCGAGCAGCACCCCCCAGAGGCCCCGCAACACTCCCGGCCGCATGCTTCTCGGATGTGGGTCCGACCGGATCGCAGGCAGCGCGCACGGTCCGTGGCCCGTCTGAGTCAATGTGCGCCTCTCATGGAGGGGGGTCCTCGATCGAAGACCGAGGCCGCTCCTCAGATCCAGGATCGTGGCGGACGATCCTCGGCTCGAGGACCGACCCGAGGAGTCGGCCTGGGAGGGGAGGCCTCCGATCGAGGCGGCGGAGGGGGCGGGCGAGGCCGAGCGCGCGGGGCCGGTCCGACCAGATACCGAGGGGCAGAGCAGGGGGCCAGAGCCCGGAGGAGTCGGCCTGGAAATGGGGGGGCGGCGAGGAGGAGGGGGGCGGGGCCAAGTTATGAGGAGGGGGAGATCTAGGGCTCCTCATCGATCGAGGAGGAGGAGCAAGAGGAAGATGAGGAGGAGGAGGAAGAGGAAGAGGAAGAGGAGGAGTAGGAGGAGGGGGAGGAGGAGGAGTCTGCCTGGGCGGGGAGCTTTTCGGTCGAAGAGGCGGAGGAGGCAAGCAGAGCAGGCGTGCGGTCGGCCTGAAGGGACCGAGTGCAGCGCGGGGGTGGGGGGCAGAGCCACGAGGAGTCGGTCTGGGAGGGGGGAGGGGGAGGCAGGTATCGAGGCTTGAGGAGATGGGATCTAGGGCTCTCCATCGAGGAAGCGGGGTTACGTGGGTTCCGCCATGGACCCCTTGCTAGCCACCAGCCCTAGGCGGTCTTCGGCGGCGGGCGGCGGCGGTCTTCTGGCGGACTGCGGCGGTCCTCGGCGATTTTTCTTGCCGTCTTCGGCGGTCTTCGTTGGTCTCCCGCCGGTCTTCGAGGGCTTCCTGCGCCTGCGGTTTGCGGCGCGAAAGCTGGATGGTTGCCTTCACACGGGGTCCATGATCGAACATCGGGCCGGGCGAAAGGGGGGGATAGCAAATGGAGGGGTTGAGAATCAGATCGCGTAGCTGATTTTCCCGGCGCCTCCCGGCGCCGGAGGCGGCTGTGTATCGAGGGATGGGCCACTCGGCGGGGCCGAAACCAGCTGCATGCAGCAGATTTCGTAACCCCCCCTTTCCCAATCCCCCCCTTTTTCGTTCGGCCCGAGAACACTTGAGGGAGAGGGACATCGAGAACGGAGGCTCTACGAGATTGCTGCAGGTGTGGAGGCGCCCCTCGCGACCGGCAGTGGCCAGCCCAGGACCAGAGTTCGCCCACTGCTGCATTCGAGTGGACATGTCACTCCCGACTCCTCTTCGAGGCGAGGGTGTTCCTACTAGTTCTCTGGGAAGGGAGCGAGAAGGAGCAGCTAGGAAAAACAGACAAACAGGGAGAAATGAGTAACCGCATGCCGCGGACAAGAAAGGTGACCCCCCTTCCTTCACCCCCTCTATCTGATTATCCACGAGGCGTATGTGGGTTCAAACTGCCACCACAGGTACGGGGGGCGAACTTGGAGCGAACTTTATAATAACCCCCGGACTTCGCATCGTCGCTCTGATCTTCATATCATGCATCGCACCATGAGTAATCCTTGTTATCAACTTCGGGAGCGTGTATCAAGAAACACGCAAGCTTTCCAAGACTCGCTAAGTTCGAGACCAGCAACTTTTCAAGGATGTCTCAAGGCAAACGCTTGGTGTTGTAAAAAGCACTGCCGAGAACGAATGAACTTTGCGAAGATGCTTCAGGCGAAATGTTGAATATTTCGAGCTTCTCTTACCCTCTTCCGTCCCGCAGAAGATCGAGGCCCAGGCCGTCTGAGAGCAACCGATCCTTCAACCGGTTCCGAGCGCCCCAAGCAACCGATCCCTGAAAACAAGCCCAAGCGGAAGGCTTCTCCAGATAAGCTTGGAGGTCATCCAAGACCAATCCAGCCGTCCCAAACCGATCCCTCAAACAAGCTCAAGGAGAAGGCTTCTCCAGATCAGCCTGGAGGTGATACAAGACCATCCAGACATCCCAACAACGATATCTCTGGGAATAAGAGATCCTCTTCCCACGAACCCGAGCTTTATTATACCCAGCGTGTGACTCTCACCAACATAGGGTGGTTGGCAAGCATGAGACGTGGACGGTAGCCATACAACAAAGGCCTCATGTACATGCTTAGGCCGCAAAGAGAAATGGTCTTTACTCCCAGTCCTTGTGCCGCAGGCCGAAGGCGACGAACATCTTCACCACAGTATTGAGGCCGCCGCCCTATGGTTACCGTCTTGCTTCTGAGGCCATCGCGACAATCTGTGCGTGCGCGATCGTAGCAGCATATGTTCCCTCTTCGCAGCCTCATGCCATTGTCACACGTACCTCTACAATGTTCATCACGCCCGATTTCGCACAGAAGCTGCGGGCTCCTCTTCAGAAGAGGTCGTCCTTGCGCTCACGCAATAATTCACAGCCGCCCAAGGACAAGAGGGGCAGAGTATGGAGCAAGCGCAGAAGCGGCTCTCGCATAACTACACGGGGCACCACACAACTCGATGAGACAACCTTGTATTATCCGAACTAGGCACATACACGCATGTGCTTCGACGTAAATTGATCTTCAACCGATTCTATATATATATATAAACATACGTGACTTGAGTCCGTGGCCGTTTATGTTTCAATACTTATCACTCGCGTTGCAACAATGCTCTGGCTGACCAATCCAGACACCCTGTCATGCCTTTGGCATGGCGCCATTCTTCACCCGCTTGCCGAACCAGCAATTCACTTTCTGCAGCGCCACCACAGCGACGACGCCGGCTTCAACGGCGACGGTGGTGGCGGCGGTGACCGCGACGACGACTGAAGACTGCAACGGCAACGGCCACACCGACGGCCACGGCGACGGCGATGACCACGGCGCCGACGCGACGGCGACTGCGACGGCCACTGCGATGGCAACGGCGACGGCCACAGCGAAAGCGACAACGGCGACAGCGTCGACAGCGGCGTCGGCAGCCTCACCGCCGCTGT